AACAACAACAACAACAACAACAACAACAACAACAACAACAACAACAACTACAACTACTATACATCAACTGGCTTTTATGTATAAGACATAATAAACCCTATCATGTGGCTCAGTAGGATGAATTATGTGTGTTAAGATGGTTTACAAATGATGTGGTCTAATTCTGAGTTAGTTCAATCAATACAGCCACTGAAATCATTTTGCCTAAAGATAACAGCAACAGTAGTACAAGTGGAAGTGACAAAATAGAAATGCTAAAATCTTCTCAGGTGATAAGTGAATGAATGTATAAGGGGTGGGCCTTCTCGGCCCTTGCACCGCGACCTACAGTGGTCTATTGTGCTTTAGGTGATAAGTGTGTCAAAGTTGAGTTAAACCCAATGTTTCACATATCTGCTCCAGACATTGGTCTCTAACTCATCATTTAAATTGCTGACTGCCTGAGAAGATTTAAGCATATGTATTCACCACAAAAGCTCAGAGTTTCTTCATTAAAATGATTTAGACGTGCCTTCTAAAATTTCCCTACAGAGTGAAATATATGATATGTAAAAATGGAATATTTGGTTTCCTTTCTCTCAGAAATCAATATTGGCTGATAAGAATATGTAATAGTCTGTCTGCACCACATCACATCTCTGAAACAGTGGGTCCTGAAACAAAATGTACACAGCAAAAACATTTCAACAGGTGCTTCTTAGAAAAACTAAGTGAATTTGGGGTTGTGACATCACAAAATCTTGTATGCGGACAGTATGAAAATGGAAGCAACATGTTCCTCTACACTGTTGGTAACCGCATACAACACTATGTACTGCTGCAACAGACAATCTGTCTCTTGCATAATCAAATCAACAATATGTTCACAAATAAGTAAATAGACGAGACAAATGCAAAGCAGAAGCTTCAAAAGCATTATGTTCATCCTTATCTACCTTCTCAATAAATACTGTGGTGTGTTGTTGAATTTTAAATATTAATCATAGGCTAATTAAAAAGTAAGCATGTTTACCCATTTTCTAAACCACGAGTACAAGACAAAAAATATGAAGCATTTAATTTCCAAATTTCACACAGGATGATTAAAGTGTGGCATTAATTTGTGTTATATGTTCAGCTTGCTCTTAAACACCAACATGAATGTAAAGCACACAGAAATGTTTACATTAATGGTATATGAAAGGAAACCTATGACATAGGATGCCCAAAAATATTCAATCCACTGAACCAAAAAATCAATATATACTTTATACTGGTACATCATAACTTCAAAGAATGTGGTGTCTCTTGAATTTCACTTCACACTTCAACATTGGTACCAAATACTAAGCACACTTCATGCTATCTGATAGACACAGTAAGCAAAGCCTGGACCTTACTAGTTTTATATACATCATAGTTACCTTCCCAATCTCGGGTTCAGTAGCTGCCAACTGCTCTCCAACTCCATCTGCAACCTTCTTATCTCTGACTCGACTTCTTGAATCACATTTTCTTTTATCACTGGGACTAGCACTCCGATCTCTTGGCCTTCCTCTCTTTTCCCTGCTGTTACTCCTGTTCCTTCTCTCTCTTCTTTCCAAACTTCTGTCCCTCTCTCTGCTTCTGTTCCTCTTTTCCTTATTTCTATCTCTATTTCCTTCTCTACTTCTGCTTCTTTTCTCCCTGTTTTTGTCATTATTTCTACTCCTCCCTCTTGCTTTCTCTCGACTCCTACTCCTGCTCTTCCTATGTCTGTCTAGGCTGCGGCTTCTCCTCTTCCTTTTGATCTCAAAATCATCTTCTCTTTCCTGACTGTGGCTTCTTCTACGTTTCTTTTTCCTTGATGGGTCCACTGTTCCTTCAGGTACTGAGGCTTCGCACTTACTGCCACTATGAGAGCTTGGTTCCAGCTTTATTCTTGAAGTACTGTGTAAAAAGACATAGAATTTGGTCAAAATTTTTTAAAAAATTTCATTTCTCTGGTGGATATACCAGGAGAAAATATTTTACAACACAGCTTTCTATTGATCAGACAAGAGAGTCATGCAGTATATTACCTGCCACCACAGGAATGGAAAATACAGTAAATATCACATATGCGCTACTCATGACATGTCAAAGTGATAGTTCTCCATTTTCTTTTCATGGCCAAACATGAAACACTAATCCATGGCCAAATTTCTCAACAGAGAGTGGACAGGACTAAGGGAAATATATATGAGCAGATAGTTAAGTCACTGCTTGGACCCTTTGCCTTTGGCCAACTGTCATGAACACATGTCAAACACCCTTCTAACTTCATGTTTAAGTCATGTACTAATACCCTCTAAAGCTGCACCAAGAAGTGAAATGCTTTCCCAATTAAAACTAAAATACTTTCCACCCTGGGGGGCACAGGGTAGCGTAGTTGGTTGAGGCACTATGCTACAAGCAAGAAGGTCGTGGGTTTGATTCCCGATGTAAATGGATATTTTTCAATGTACCTAATCCTTTCAGTTGCAATATGGCCCTGGGGTCAACCCAACCTCTAACAGAAATGAATACCAGGAATCTTCCTGGGGGTAAAGGGCAGCGAGTGTGTAAGGCTGACAACCTCACCGCCATCTGTGAGCTGACTATCTAGAAAATGTGGAAGCTTCAACATCTCACAAACTTATGGTTCTCCACAACCCATTACAGGGACAGATTTACCTTTTACTCTCCATCATATTGTGTCCTACAATCACACAAATCAATTGACATCCTTGTTTAAAAGAAGTAAAGCTATCCCTGTAACAGGCCATGGAGGTCCATAGAGTTATGAGACGTCAAGGCTCACGCATTTTTCTAGACAATCGGCTCACATATGGCAGTAAGGTTGTCAGTCCTATGTGCTGGCCACCCTTTACCCCCAGGAAGATATCTGGTACTCATTTCTGCTAGAGGCCAACTTAACCCCAGGACCATTGTGCAGATGGAAGGATTAGATCAATTGAAAAATACAATAACCTCACCGGGAATTGAACATGCAACCTTCCAACTTTTGCACGGTGCCTCAACTATGTTACGGCATGCCTCCTTGTACCAACCCAATATTGAAAAAAGTTGCAAAACTCCACAATCAGTTCCTACATATTTTATACTATGTGCAGTAAAACAGTTAACAGCAGTTCAAATACTATTTTCTGGGTGCTACTACAAACCACACTGATCACGCTTATATCTTCTCTTTCCATAACACACATAGTTCAGAGACAGCCCAAGAGGACTTGCAACCTGCTTCCAGTACCCTGAAGATAGAGGCAACATGTTCCCCCAAAATGTCTGGCTCTCTCTGAACCAACTGGCGTTACAACTCTGAAGACAGCAATCTTCACATATATGATTAATAGGTCCCATGGTTTGGAGAAATTAGTCACTGCTGTAATAATCTACATTCAACCAAGCCAACTGACACACTTTCTTCAATTACAAACTACTGCTTAACCCTCACAATTCAGAGGCACTATACAACCCAATAAAGTTCTGGATTGTGAACACAGAAAAACGAGCTCAAAGATTTTACCAATCAGGTCACTTCTTCTGAAAGGGAGTCATTTGAGAGTGTAAATGCGTAATGTAATTGTCCAATAAACATCTTTGTCTAATCTGGAACCCATAATTTCTTGTAGCATTACCTGGATACGTGACAACTGGTGTCACCCGGTGGAAGAATGAACAGCTGTTGGAGATGAAACATGAGAGACGGACTAGTCAGGTCGCATCATTTGGAAGGCACTATTTCAGAGTAATTGTAAGCGTAAACGAGTATTTCTCCAATAAACAGCACCATCTAAAGTCGCAACCCATTAATTATTTGTCATGGAACCCCAGACACATGACAATAACATTAAAAAATCTTCACTGGAGTGGCAACTGATATTATGGTCTGCTGTGTTACATAATGTTAAAAGAAAAATTACAGATATTACTATGTATGATGATTCAGCCAGGTTGTGAATGCAATCATGACCACAGGGAAAATACACACCTTATTTGTGATGGTGCTAGGGCTTCCAGTTCTGCCATTAAATCACTCACAATATCATCTTGTGCTGATGACTTCTTTTTCTCTTTTTTTTCCTTCTCTGCATTATGTGACTGACACTTTGGATCATTTGGTATTGCTAGACCAGGAAACTTTTCTGCAAGCCTGTCCTTTTCATTTCGTGACTGAGGTGACGATTCTTTTTGATGCTTAGGTTTCATGTGCTGAATAATACGCAGCAGGTTTGCAATAAATGAATCCTGAAATACACAGTTAAAATTTATAAATGTTTGGTTAGATTTATGGATGTTTTGGTCTCTTTACTAACAAACTGGAAAATGTCACTGTTCAAGGCAGGTATAAACATCAAGACTAAATATTTTCTTTCAAAACTTATCTTCCATTTATGAAACACTAAAGGAAAACCAGTAATATTAAAAAATTCTGCAAACCGTTTCAGTTGCCATGCATAATCATTTGCATGCTGTGCTACAGTGCTGCACATAATAATTAATCCTTTCCTGCCCCATTTAGAGATGTTTATTCCTTACCTTTCACCCTACTATTCTAAAACATATAGGGAAACATTTTACTTCACAAACATGTGAATAACTTCCAAAGTATGGGGACTGCAGACATACAGCTCCAGATATTCTTAATCTTGGCAGCAGATGGCAGTGGGCAATCAGCTTTATATTGTACACCCTTATTAACACTTTGCGGACCGGTGATTTAAATATTTAAATCACCCTGGGTACCGGCGTTTTTAAACCTACTACCCTATCTTGTGCACTGTTCACTTTAAAAATTAATATAAAATCTCCTAATTAATTTTATGAACTAAAATTTTTGGAGAACACTTACCAGAGCTCCTAGAAGTGCTTCAGAGTGTGATATTTCTGGAAACATTCCCCTCTGGATCAGTGGACCAATAGTCTTTCAGATTATCCCTCTTTGTAAACCCCATTAGAATGATTATTGCCAAAAAAATTTTCATTTCTGCTGAAGTGACATCCACCCACTTCAACACCTTATAGGTACTGTTGTACGCCTCACGGTGTTGGAGATAGTATCTGTTGGTCTCCTGACACAACATGTCAAAGAAACTATCTCCAAAAAACAGTTCAGCTACTTCAGAGACTTGCGTAGGGTCTGATGGCATTTGTCTCACCCCTGGATCACCAGTAAACTTTCCCAAAGTGGGTGTTTTGTTCACTTTACTCCATGTGGCTTTCCCCACAATGCTAGCACTCGCACTTTCATCGGAGCTCTCACTGTCACTTTCACTTGCTCTTCTGGTCACAATATTTTGGGGGCCCCTGTCACTGCCACTGACAATGGCCTCGCTATCAGAAGACGAAGCAGTTGGCAAGTCAGATAACTCAGTGGAGATCAAATCACAGATTTCTTCTTCTCCGAGAGCTCGCGCGGCCTTCAACTGCTTTCGTCTCTGAGCCATGTTGACACTGAGAATATCTTGCCTCACACATAGAAGCTTTGACTTGAACAAAGGGACTTTTCTTTAGAGTGAGAGGGGAATAGACAGTGGTCACGTTGCTGACTCGGAAAACAAACATTCCGAAGGTCAACTACACAGTACTTTTACAGACACGTGGCCACCAAAGTGAGGAATAGTGTGTTGCAACATAACACGTCCTAAAATCCTAAATCTAGGCAACCGGTCTGCCACGTTTAAAACCCAAACACCTAGGCCTAGGCGTCCAGTCCGCAAAGTGTTAAAGAGCTCCCAGTACTTACTGAATATAAGGATTGGCAAGCACCACAGCTGGTGAGAAAGCTGTGAAGAAGAGAAAAATCTCTATTTCTGCTGGATGTTGCACGCCAATTCCCCAATCATCCACCCTGTACCATAGTCACTATACTGATCCATGCAGCAATATACATCATGTTCTATATCTCCCTCCTGGATTTCAGAGGTCTGTAGCTCAGAGACAAACTTGCCCATAGGGGACAAGAGCATGTGAGTGAAAAGAGTAAATAATCGAGTTTTTAACATACCTTGCAAATGTTCCATACATCCTCCTCTGGTAACTCGACAGACATCAATTCTGTAATCTAGCTCCTGACACACGTGTTGCAACATATCAACATCAATGGTATCAACTGCAGCCATGATGCTCTGTTGAAACTCTGGTAAATTTCTTGGTAAAGGGGGCATGTAAACTTACACATTAACCTTGAGGGAATCAATGAAGTGTTGAACTGTTGCACGAGGATTTCCCATGCCTCAAATACGCACATTATGGTGGTTGACCTTGACAGAAATATGGAAGGATGCCTCATAACTGAACACTAACTTATCTGCTTCTTCCTGTATACGTTCTTGAAATTCCAAACAGAATTCATTACGGAGATTGTGATCTTCAGGAGTGAGAGCCTGAAGCAGCTGAAACAGGTACGGTTTACAGGCAAGTTTTTTTTTTGTGTGTGTGTGTGTGTGTGTAGGATGTGCCAAACAGTCACGTGAGACATTTTCCATTATCAGCTTGCGCAACATGTTGATTCTTGAGGACTCCTGGTAAAGGATTCTCGTATACAGTCCACAGTCTCAGAAGATGACCCTGGCCTGCTTGTTCTTTTTGTGGCACACAAACAGCCCATTTCCTTGAATTTCCTATACCATTCTCTTCTTGTTTTGTCTGTTTGTGGTTCTGTATTATACTTGGTTCGAAAACCACGTTGCACTGTTATAACTGACTCAGTTTTAGCAAGCTGCAAGACACAAAAAGATTTCTGTTTGCCTGAAAATGCAATGTTTCCACACTACTTCCTCCTAGAGGAAAAATTGGTAACCAAGCCATGGCACAAGACACAAGAAAAAAACTTGATTATTTACTCTTCTCATTGACATGCTCTCATCCCTTGTGGACAAGTTTGTCTCTAAGCTACATACCTCAAAATCCCGGAGGGAATGATGAAACACGGTGTATATTTGTTCATTTACAACATATGAGAATATACTGAACCTTGAAATGGAAGAAAAGTCCTGTGCATTCAGCCACAATTCTGGTTCACATCATACATCAAAAATATAATCTAATAACTTTCTGATGATAACATGATGTACTTCACTACCTGATGATGACACACCCTCAAAAATGTTTCATTCAGCACAGTGATATTAAATGTCTCTTACAGCACACATCAAACCAAGTGCAAAAAGAACTTTTAAATGGCTCACCAGAGGTTTAGAACTTTCCTTTACTTACCGAAAATTCAGCTCCATTCTCTACAAGGACATTCTTGAAGGTTTCAAAGGTGTCATTCTTCTCAGCAAGATGAATTATAAATTCCGCTGCAATGATAAAAGATCATAATCAAAAAGAACAAGAATCACAAAAGATAATTCACTGAATCTTACAGAACATTTTTCTCTCTACATAGATACAATTACTAACTACAAATCAGTATGGATTTAAACATAAGTAATTAACTCTTGGTTGGATGGATTCTAAAGGGTTCTGTTGATGGTGTATAACACTTGGGATTACTGAGATTTTGGACTTTGTCCACTGTCCAGTATTCTCAAGAACCCCACATTTTGAAAACTAAATACCAGTATACATGAGTACTGATCAGATATTCTGCATTAATCATATGCTGGAGAAAGAAGCACAATGGGAGAGTACACTAATTATTTACAGACTTCAAGAAAGCCTATGAAACAGAAGAGATGTGCTATCTTCTCACAGAATTTAGTATATTGATAATACTAGTCAGCATATTTCAAATGTGTTAAACAAAATATACATAAAGGTTGGTACATGTAAACATTTGTCCCATATGTAGTCTATTCAGATTGGTCTGAAACAAGATCATAATTTATTGTTATTGCTTTCCATCTTCACTTTTTTATGTACCACTATGAACACCTAACAAAATCAAGAGCCAGATTTTCATCTATATTGATATGGTAAGGGTGAAAAATACCATAAAAAGAAACACAGAAGCTCCTCTGGATACTTAGTGAGAAGACTGCTCTAGAAGTAAATGCAGAGAAAATTAAGTATATATTGATGGCTTCTCACTGGAATAAAGATCAAAACCATAACATACGAACAGATAATACACAATGTGAACACATGGCAAAGCTGAAATTAAATATCTAAGAACAACAGCCACAAACCAAAATTACATTTGGAAAGAAATGAGGGTTAAATTCAGGTAATGCTTGTTACCATTTAGTTCAGAACCTTTTGTTTTCTTGTCTGTTGTCTCAGAAACCTAAAGACTGAAATATCCACACCTATAATTCGTCTTGCAGGTTTGTATGGGTGTGAAACTTCGTCTCTCACATTACGCTAAAGGAGAAAGACTGAGAATGTTTACAAACAGGGTGCAGTGGAGAATGGCTAAACTTACATGGGAAGAAATAATATGAGGTTGGAGAGAACTGCATAATGAGGAGCTTCGTAACTTTTACTCTTCACCAAATATTACTAAATTGATCATGCTACTTAGAATGAGATGTAGCATGCATTTGGTGCAAGAGAACTAAATACAGGGGATGTAAGATGTAGTGATGTAAGACTGTAAATTTAACACATGTTTTTTTATCTATTATAATGATTATAAGCTGTACATATATATTTATAATTGTATTGTACTATATTAACTATGTGACTGGTTCTATATCTATGTATATGGATTTATGGAATATACAATAAATGAATGAATGAATGGTGGTAAAACCTGAAGGAAAGAGACCACTGGAAGCCCCACACGAGAATGGGAGGACAATATTAAAATCGATCTCACAGAAATTTGGGGGTGTGGACTGGATTCATTTGGCTATGGTCAGGGGCCAGTGGCGGGCTCTTCTGCACACGGTAATGAACCTTCAGGTTTCATAAAATGTTGGGAACCTATTGTGTGGCAAAGTAATTGTTGGCTTCGAAAGGAGTAGTCATTTCCATGACGGCAGTTAGTCAGGGTCTAATAGATTTGAACTGAATAATAGAAGCATTTCCTGACTTTATGTTCGGCACTTAATCGAATTCTATGCTACCCTGCTATTCTTAACACTCCTTTTTTGGTTACTTGATTTGACCGAGCTTGCGAATAATATAAACAATATACATACCTAAATCCTTGTCATTTAAACCCAGATGATTTTCAAGTTCGGTACAAATTTTAGATACCAATGATAAATGTTCAAGCCTCACGACTTCTTCCATGTTTTATATTGTCTTTTATCATACGTCAACCTCACACACACAAAACTAACCAGTTAAGAACTCCCAGACTTCATGACCTTCATGACTTCATCCATGTTTTACATCGTGTTCTACCACACGTCAATCTCACACACAAACTAACCCTTTAAAAAACCGTAATGTCGCTCAAGTGACATGCGTCCTTTGGCTTCATCTTCTTTTGCTTCTCCACGGCTAGGAGAAAGTCACGGATTATATACAGTGGTAATATTATTCATGGGGTTGGGTACACCAAGGAAACTGGCAACCGCAACGCAACCACAATTTCCGAGAATTGTTATTAGCCTGAGTTGAACACATGCTACTGAATTGAGCAGTGCAAATTGAGGAAACGGCAACGCAACTCGCGGAGAGACTGAAAAACTCAATTTCCAGGCAACGGAATATGCCAGTCTTCTTGCAATTGCGTTGCCGTGTGATTTCTTAGTATCAATGTCAGCTGTTCTGTGACGTGCTCCAGTGATTCATTTGATTGTTGAGGTAGCACGAAAGGTTGATGAAGCTCCTAATTTTGTTTCTGTGCAGTTAATTGAGCAAGAGTCTTGATATATATGACAAACGCCACTCAGACTATGCTTGTCGGGACAAAATAGATTTGGCTTGGATAAATATTTGTTATAAGAGGAAAGAGTCTGGATCCATGTTAAGTTCTTTCGAAACAATATAAGCTCTTCAGTTGTCACATAAGGAACGGATGAACCCAATATTTTCTTTTCTTAATATTGTATTTAAACAACCTGTTGCGTTAATATATCATTTATTTCCCATATATTTCCGTCGTAAATACAACTTATTATATAGTTACATTTCTTCCACATTACATGGTTCCACTATATACAGCCATCAACGGGTGTCTTCTATCTTGCCAAAATTGTTGCACTGTATGTCAACATTTCGTATCGCGTGCGAATACGTTATTTCCTGATTAAAATAAATTTACCTTAAATAAAATAAATTAATTAACATCCCAATATTTCCCTTATGGTCGTCGTCCTCTCGTCTCAGCCGGTCTCAACTACAACCATATCACGACAGGATCAGTATTCTTGTCTTACACTGCAGAAGATAAGTGCACGAAATTAAAGAATACAATCAACCATTATGTCGGTCGAACATACCCACTTAAGATGATGTGAGCAAGTAATCAAACATAAGTTTCCTCGGTGTGCGCCTGAAATCTGGAAACCTGTGACCTGCTTGAAATCGGCGACATTTCTCGGAAATTTTGGTTGTGTTGCTGTTGCCAGTTTCCTTGGTTTGCCCTCGTCCTAAAGGTGAAGCTGGTCGGGTTTTAAATCCCCGCTGCTATAAACAAAAAACAAGACAAATTCCGTGGTGTTCGTCCGCAAGCGAACTATACCGACCGAGCGACCGCCGCTTGTCGGCGAAGTTAGTGCCAACTTTAGCGGATAGAGCTGTCGCGTGGTCAGCGCAACGGCAGGCCACACCAGTCTTAAAGCAAGCCTAAACAGATTTAACATTGTGTCCATGGCAGAATGTGAATGTGGTGATGGGCTGCAAACGGAGGAACATATCTTCTGGGACTGTACGAGGATCAAAGGGCAATAACGACCTTCTGTCTGAGAACAGCAAATAGAAAAACCAGCGCCAGTTTTAGAGCTCTTAAGGTTAGGAAAAAAAAATAGATTTCTGCAAGGCGTCCGTTACTTTACAAACAATATTCCTATATTTATATAAAATAGACATATAAGAAAATTAAAATAAGTAATTGTACTGATTAGTGCCAACTTTAGCGGATGTCGCTCGGTCGGTAAAGTTCGCTCGCAGACTAGAACCACGGAGTTCTTTCATTGTACTGATTATTAACAGTATATTCTAGGCCGCGACATAGCTCACGCGGTTAGCCGTTGGCTTCCCACCGCGGAGGGCCGGGTTCGACCCCGGGTCTGGTCAAGTGGGATTTGTGGTGGACAAAGTGACGCTGGGGCAGATTTTCTCCGAGTACTTCCGTTTCCCCTGCCAATCTTCATTCCACCAATTGCTCCACAATCACCCTCACCTATCATCTGGGGCTGGTACAATATGCCAGAAGTGGCCGCAGTACAAAGGACTTAGTCCCACCCCACTAGCAATAAAAAAACAGTATACTCTCATATTTAAGTTAAGCACTATATTAAGAATCGCGGGGTTACCGCTATTACAGAATAAGATATTTATAAGAATGTGCTACAGAAGGCCGAATGGGCATTGCCTAGGCCTTTTTGATTTTTACAATAATTTTTATGCAATAAAATATCCCTACGGCCGTTAATTTCGGTTTTCTAGGCCGGAGCCGCTATTTCATTGGCTCCTCAATTATCCTCACGAGGCTGAGTGGACCCCGTTCCAGACCCACTACGTACTTCTCAGAAAATATGGTAGCGCTGGGAATCAAACCCGGACCTATGGATCTGTAGCCAGGAACTCTGACCACTAGACCATAGAACAGGTTACTAAAGAGCATTTTAATAATTTTAAGCATATTACTAAAGTATTGTAACTAGTTCATTTTTATCATAAACGATTGAAATTAACTTTGCTTTATGGACAAAAAACGCAATGTTGTATAATATAACGCCAGGTTGAAAATTATACTTTCTATGCATACTGCAAAAATAAATTTCCCACTTCTTTACAGAGTGGTTCTGCATCATACGAGTACAACTTGTAAAACGCGAGTCACAGTTCAGCTTCTGGGGCACTATGAAAGCTAGCAGCTCACATACATCAGGCTACAGCTGAGTTAAGCTTCCTTCAGATAGCAGTATCTTATTTTAGCATCATATTGTGTATAGAAGGGGTACGTGGTAGCGTAGTTGGTTGAGGCACTATGCTACAAGCCGGAAGGTCGCGGGTTCGAGTCCCGATGAGGTCGTTGAATTTTTCAATTTACCCAGTGTTTCCAGCCGCACTATGGCAATTGGGTCGACTCAGCCTCTAGCAGAAATGACTACCAGGAATCTTCCTGGGGACTAAAAGGCTGGCAACATTAGCGCCATCTCGAAGTCGATTGTCTAGAAAATGTGGAAGCCTCGACGTCTCACACCCCTAATGGGCCTTCACGATCTGTTACAGGGATATATTTGCCTTTACTTTATTGTGCATAGAATACAGGAATTCTACGCTACTGACCAGACCACCTGACAGAAAATACTGCCTTTATTATATTGTCACGTGCATGATATTTGCGTGACAAGTAATTGGGGGTTCTAAATTTATTGGACACATACAAGTAGCAACTACAAATAATTGTAATGTGCATAGCTAGGCAACGGCGCAATGAACATTTCGCATAAGCTTACTTAACAATAGGGCGAATGTTATAGCTCGTTGCTAGGCAACACTAAGCGCGCCAATGGACCAGCGCGGTATTTATCACGTGATTGACTTTCTATGGTGCCCCGTGCCGCGACCGTTGCTATGCTATCTTTCGGCAAACACGTTTAAAAAATAGAGGCTGTGTTTTCTGGGTGGTCGTTGTCGAGACTATATAACGACAGTTACAAATATAGACAGTAAAATATGGTTACGAGTCCCAAGGGATTCGGACCCGAGAAAGACTGCGCTGGCGAAGGCCAGCAACATATGCGGAAGACGGACCCGTCCTCTCGTTAGAGAGGGCGCCCCACAAAAACAAAACCATGCCAAACAGTAATAAATATCTAGTCACGATCTCCAGATGGGGCTCAACATCATTAACTGATTAACTGACCGTCAGTAGCAATGTGACTTTCACTTTGACTTGAACAGGTTCAGTTTTCAAGCGACCGTGACATAGCTCAGTCGTAAGCTGGATGGACGAATTGAAACCAGGAGTACAGGAGAGTTCAGGTCTATGAAGAGTTTGCATGTGAATAGAAGACTTTATTCTTGTGTAATATTTGGAGTGATCTGAAGCGATTGTTCATGTGTTTTAACTGCATTGCCAGAAGAGGACTAGTGTGTGTGTAACAGTAAATTATAAAGTGTGGAATCAGCGACAGCGCTTCATTAAATGTAATTAAGAGAGAGGGTGCAACCGAACTGTTAGTAAATCCAATCATGCGAACTACAAACCGTCATTTTCGTTGCGCGTACCACACTACACGTGATACAATTATAGAACTCTAAAGAACACTGTAATTATAACACAAAGAATAAAGTTTTCAACGTCTGCTTGCTTAGTCGTTACTTGGTAACGAATCTTCTCTGGTTGAGAATTCAACTACTGAATACTCCAATACTGAGTCTGAGTCTTATATTACGACCGACGGTCAGTCGGCCAATATGTCTTGGAGTAAAGCACCCATCTGGGTTTTACGACCAGGTTGTTATTACTGTTAGACAGGACGCTGATACTTTTAACTGAGGGTTTGATTGTGATCCTCACTTCTTCCGGAGAAATGTCGAAATAGACCTCATATTAGGTTACGACAGCTTCTACCCACATATTTTCGAATTCAAAATTTGCTTATCATCATATTAGCTTCTGCAGCTACCAGCAATTTGGGCTAGAGACGATATCATTATATAAACCATAAATAAAGGATAAAATATGTTTCCGAATTGCATAGAATGAACGCATCATCAAGGAGCGTGCGTCAACACGTTTAATCTTGGGACCAAGTAAGAAAATTCAATGAAATATAGAAGCCATCAGGGTATGAAAGTCGTCGGGTGGCCTACGTTTCGGCTCGAATATATATAATATTTCACGTACTGAGCATGAAACTCAAATCGAACTTATCCATTCTATAAAAGAATAGCCATAGTAGAAACATTAGTACATAACTTAAAATATACCTCGTTTCTTCAAAATATTTTCTAATACTGTGAATTTGTAATGCAATGGGATAGAAGGGATTGCGAGATTTGAGGTTCCCTCGGTGGTAACTGTGAAGAATACTATCTTGTGGAATATGACGCCATGATGTGTGCTAGAAGTACGTTCCCCCGAAATATCAGTACGAGTAACTTCTACCAGACTAAAGAGCGTCACACCAAAGTAGGCACTATTCTTTAAATACAAGAGATAGGCCTAAAATTTCTAATTCAATGCAATGGGGTCAGCTTTGTAGCACTGGATTTCTATCAATTACAACTGGACATCAAGAACAATGCAGTATGAAAAATTGTATAGAAAGCAGGCACAAAGCATGGTAGGTCTTCTGCAGGTTTGTGTAATACTTACCGTATTTTGAAATAAGGGTAACATTTTCATACACCGAATGTGTTTCTTCTGCTATAAGACTTTGCGATTGAAAAGTGTATGGGTTAGCTTGAAGCATAGTGGCTGCTGTACCAGCGGCTTTAACATTAAGAAACGACTTCATTATTTTTCAGACAGAATTTATATATTTCATATTATTCTCAGGAGGACAAAAATTATTTCCTTAACAGCATTAACAAGCCGGTCTTTATATCGGAGAAGAAGCGTCTTTCTTGTGTGGCGGGAACTGAATTTTCATGCAATTCCGAATTCCGTGTTTCAGAAAGTTCAATAACGCCGCAGCAGCGGGGCGTTATTTGCTGCAGGTTTTTGCACAAATTCTAGCGGTCTCCCTAATTTCCACGAAGGAGGTATTCTGCACAAGAATAATTGCTCTGCTCTCGTCTAGAAATCGCATTAATGGAGGGTTTTGCTTTGTTGTACTTAACTAAATTAACAAGACTACACTGACTCTGTATAATTGAATTGTGTAGCGTGTAGAAGATCTCGTAAACTTTTAATGCTTGTGTGTCTTAAATGCTGAAGAAGGTGCCTTCTAACCTCAATTGTGAAGTAGAATGCTTTTAGTTTGCTGAGGGTGACTGCGTTTCTCCTGTTCCTTAATCGTGTTGCTGAGCATACTTAAGAAATATGTTCATTAGCGATTAGTTCCTGGCTGGAAGGCCGATGCGTCAGGGTTGGCTTCCAGGCAGGGGCAAGAGATTTTCTCTTCTCCATAGGGAACAGGCTGGCTCTCGAGCCCACCTTTCTGCCACTGGTAACGCGGTCGTATCGTGAAGCTCACAACTCAACTCCATTAATTGCTGGGATTAAAAATGCATGGAGCTGTACATTCACACCCCCATACATCTTCAATATACGTATAGTGTGGCGTGCCGCCAAAAAGTCGGACAATAAGACGTCTATTGATAGGCAACGACTGAGATAAGAATGTACACTTCAGCGGAAACGCAATACCAGCGGACCATTGCATATGAATCGCCTAAAATCAAATGTGTTTCCCAGGAAATGGAAGGATATCCATGGAATTATATATTAGAATTGTTATTATGAACGCTTATAAGCCGAAGCCGAGTGCCATCCATGCACGCCGGTCTAGCGGTCACAGGACCGCGTAGAATTTCGTATTGAGAACATTGCAACCATCAAAACACAAGAAGCGGAACATTCTGAAAACGCTATTAACAACGCACTGTTGGCCACTTTGTGAAACACTGTATTCGAAACAGCCGATGCACAAAAAGCATTCTTCATAGAAGGGTACAATTTCACACACAATTTTATAATGAGAATGTTTGTGTAATCTAATTTGCATACTGAGAAGCGTAAAGGAGAGGCTAAAGTAATGTTAGATCTCTTATGCTCCATTTCGAGACAAAAGGAACCGATATAGAAACATCTACCTCAGGAAAATACAACTATGTACTCGCAAGAGTCAGCAGAAAGTAGGTTTGTTTTCTGTTTACTGTGTAGGGCTAGGTGAGGGGAAGATTAGAGCATCCAATGTTGCACTCTAACGTGAGGTTCCTGCGTAAAGGGCGAACAAAATATTATTTGCTTGAAATCTAAATCCGTCTTTAATTATCAGACTAATAACTGAAAACAGTGAACAAAAATAATGATAGGTGTGCCTACTAGTATGAACGCCAAATTGTATTAAGGTGATTCAATTAGGCCAATTCAAGGGACGTCTTTAACCCACTCTCTTTATGAAAGAAAGGACAGATTTGCAGCATCAGTATGTCCGTACTTCCGTTTTTCAGTTCTCGTAACAGCTTTCGAACGAAATGACAGGTTTTGGTGAAACTGTGCATGAACATCGGGAAAAGTAGTAGAGGTCAGTATTTATTTTGGCAGGTGTACCAAAGTTTCGGAGGAATAAGCTACCTCTACCTTCAGGGAGGACAAATATCCCTTCGAAATTTGGTATAACCTACCAGACTATATGATGTCATAACCAAGATCATCACAATATGAGTAGCGTTACTGCCTTTTTTAACATTATCCATGATCTCTCTATTTCTTTAAAACTACATTTCAGAGACTGCACTCTTTTTCCATCTTCAGGTAAAACGCATACTGATTTGGGTACAATCGTGAGAGCTAGTCCCTGTGTCCGAAGGTAAGGACTAGCTGTAGTTAGTCGTGTTTCATGTTAATTTCATTAACACGCGACAATACTATTATTTGAATCTTTTAGAACTTATCCACAACATGAAGTTTCACCCCATCATATAGGTACTTAGCAACAATAACACAAACCTGGCTATTATGCAAAGTGGAAGCGATACTAGCGCCACTTAGTTCAGGGTCCTCAAATGTTATGGGGGATACATATCTATGCCCCTTGTTTTATAAAATGTATAACAACAAAATGTAGACTGCGAAATCTATGTTACTCTTCCAAATCGACATTGAAAGAACCTTGTCTTAGAAGAAACTCAAGCAAAGATGGGCCCATACGAAATATTTCGCCATGAAGAAGCTATGAAAGTATAATTGCCAGTGCTAGGATAATGGGATATTCGAGGTTTTCAAGGACGTGGCGTGATATAGACTGATAGGTGGTTACCGCCGTTTCGGAGGAATCTAATCTAAAGCGCGATTCCGCTAGACACGTCTGCACGGTGATAGTTCTCTAAGGTTCATTTTATATGCAAATGAGTTTATGTAATGTAATGTAATTTAAGAATTTGGGGGTGTTGGTGCATTGACTTAATTAGGATGTAGACCAACATTATACAATACATAGTATGTTATCAATATATCGTTTTATCTCCTTACAGTACAGTGGTAAGTATGCTCACCAAATCACGTTCAATAACTCTGTATTTAGCAAACCCAGTATTTAAGAATTCTGATTTTTAGAATAATCAGCGAGGAATTCACTCAAGTAATTTATATAATATTTTGCGTGAAAGAGATAAGACTTGATTTGCTTACAGTTAAGAGCCTAATTTCAAAATATTATTAAGATTAAAAGTAGCTCGATACGGCAACGAAAGAGGTCACTAAAAGCTGGTTTCCTATTCTAGACCCCTTCACACCAGCAAAATTAGGCTAAGGAAAATGCTCAAAAGGTTAGTTCCTTAAATTTTGTTTCAATTTATCCCGTATTGTTATAGTCAGGCAATTCTTTTGAGATTTTCTATGATTTCTATAGTCTTAAGACAAATAAGGTTAGTTTACTTTTCTCCAAATGATATTACAGCTCTCCCATGCTATAGGATATGTTACCCACATTTCTGAAATGAAAAACTTAATATTAGTTCATGACCTCTCCTCATCTCCAGAGCAGCCCGCATCCCAGTCCAAGGCAACAGAGAGGAAAAGCAATTTCTAAAATATATTAACTAAATCAGTCGTATTTATGGGGCACCCTTAAAATTTACTTTGGATAAATTAAAGAATAAGGAAGAGTTTGTGTAAAGTAACAATTCTGGCCCACTCCCTCACTTTTAATTCTCTCCAATATCGCAAGGCCTACCAAAGAATATGTAGCAGGTACAAAACAACTACCTTATAACCTGGCGATGGATGCCACATTTTCCTCCGAAATCTACCTTCCAAATTACAAGGAGCAGTATCTCAGCGTGAAACAGAAAATTTTACAATGCTTTCAGCTTCTGTAGCGTAAAGCATTGTACTTTAAACCAGAAGCTGAAGAGTATGAGTTGCAACTTAATACATTTTCGTTTGTCCGAAAATTGGAGACAAATTCTGACATGTACAGGAACCCATATTTATGCCAGATCCAATCTACGCATGCAGAGCGGCTCTCTAACGGTTTGAGTAAACTACTTATCTGAGAAAGTTGCAGAGAATTTACTCATAAAATATCTTAATTTTATGCATACTTGTCAGGCTTAATGAGGCGAGGAAAAATGATCTTCGTCTGTGGCCATCCGCCTACAATATCCCTCATTATGACTATCTTGACAAAGAAATGTCTGAACTGTTGTCAAATTTATGTGCTCATCTGATAAAATCGTGTTGGTTCTGTGCTGGTTTGAATCCACCGCATTTAATTTTTCGGTGTGGTTTAATTCAGTTGGTAATGTCACTGCCCTCGGGTTGGACATAGGGTTTAGATTTCCGGCAGGGTCTGGGAATATTCTCTTGGTCACCCGCTCAGGATGTTATAAGCACCGTCGTCCTTAACGCTTTCATGCCACGGTGCTTAGATTCATGGATATGATTATCCGGTTCCGTTTATAAGACCTTTGATTTTGGCTGAGATGAAATTCCTTAATTGGTTTTCATTCTCGATTTCCAAACAGTTCTGTCTTATGGCGTGCTCTTCTGTGCTCTGGAAATTTGAAATACATTTACTGGAACTGGTACAAGAACTTTATGCAAAGATAATACTTATTTTGGATTTAATATTAATTTAAATATTTTATTTGGAAAAAAAATAATTATAACTTCACGATTCTTGAGTGATTCTTGAAAAGTTCAAGGTTATTTATTTTCACACTCACAATTAGGTGCAAAAGAAAATATCGAGGGAATGTTGTATGAGTATTTTCAAAACACAAAAAGTTACCTCTTTGTACACTTAAGGAGTTAAATGTTTCATATTTATCTTTTCTTCGTTGATTTCAATTATTTTGTTCGATAGATTACTTCCGTGGGCTCCCTTATGTTACAGACTGGTTCTTGCAGGTTCTTGTTACAACAGACAAAAGAGGAACATCCATAATCTTTAACCTGAAATCACACACACCATTAATAACACTATGTTTTTGAATTCATATCTCATTCCATTATAAATGTCTTTTGTTAGGCTGTTATGATTAAAAAAGGGCACTTGATATAAAAGTTTTAAAAACTGTATGCTTGACAAATCCCGCACTTAGTAAACGTGGCAAGGTCTTACAGCTTCTTGTCTTTACAGTTATCAAATAATGATTTCACAACTTTGTCACTAGTCAGACAGTACTTTCCCTTTTCGTGACCATTAGAGGTGTTTCTGCTGTGGGTAGTTCTTCTTCTCCCAGCGCCGGACCCGCCAGTAATAGTGGTTGTTTCTGGGATTTGACAACTGCTGTGGTGCTGGATGCTGTAGCTTCAGGGGGTAGCTGAGACAGTGAAGCCTGATGATGCAGGTGGGGATGTGAATGATGGTGAAGCGACGCTACGGCTCCGGGGGATGGATATGAAGTGGTGCACATGGAGCTTCCTGGCACCTGCTGGTGGTGCCGGATCCCTGATGTGTACGTGGGCCAATGCTGGCGAGGAAGTGTGCAGCCTGACGACTGGTACGAAGAGCCCTGGCCGCCAGGCTTCTGAGAACACATCATTACCATCCTAGAATGTGAACAGCATCCTCATACATGAATAATACTACAGCCCCCTATCATGGGGCTGGATGTGTATGTTCGTCTGTCAACTATTAAAATATACCTTAAGATTAAATTACTACTTTGTATTATTAACTTCATAATCTGGTGCCCTGAATGATCTGACATCAAGAATACTTGAATGCCACCTCCTATTTATCAAAATATGGCCGATTTGTGTGTATATCTTCCCATCAGGAGATGTACAAGTACATTTATGGAAGTTACGATGTGGGAACATTGTACTTTTGACAGTAACTCTAACTCTTAACTCCATTATCATTAGTAATTTCATGCAAATTCTCATTCCCAATCGTTGGTTTGAAAATGTCTTCCCTCCCTACTTCGGCAATGAAATCTCCTAACAAAATTTTAATATAGTATACTTCAGGAATTTATCAAATACAAGTTCTAGTTCTTCGTAGAAACTGTCCTTTATATCATAATTTTATATTCTGTTAGGGAGTGAAGATTCAGCATGATATCACACTAGCGACCTTTTAGTATTATATATGACAACTTATTTCTAACGAAAGTTACACTCTTAACTGCTGATACGATTTTCTTATGTACTAAAAAACCTGTACCTAATTCATGATTTGTATTCCCCTTTCCATAGCAAAATGTATAGTCTCCTGCTGATGCAATGCCAACTCCTTCCCATCTGGCCTTCTGTACTCCCGCTAAATCTACTGCAAAACTGAAAATGTATAAATCGCCAGGTAGTGGTAAAATTCCGGCAGAACTTATTCAAGCAGGAAGTGAAATATTAAATTCTATGCTCCACAATCTGATTACTTCTATTTGGCATAAGGAAAAATTGCCTGATCAGTGGAAGGAGTCTATTATTGTACCAGTTCATAAGAGGGGAGATAAATCTGACTGTAGTAATTATCCGGGGATATCACAGCTATCAACTATATACAAATTTTCATCCAATATTCTTCTCTCAATGTTAATTCCATACATAGATGAAATTGTTTGGGATCATCAGTGTGGGTTTCGACATAACAGATCAACTACAGATCAGATCTTTTGCATTCGTCAGATATTGGAGAAGAAAATGTGAACATAATGAGATATTACAGCAACTATTCATAGATTTCTAGAAAACCAGTGATTCAGTTAAGAGGGAAGTACTGTACAATATTCTGATAGAGTTTGGGATACCCATGAAACTAGTAAAGCCGATTAAAATGTGTTTAAACGAAACGTATAGTAAAGTCCGTATAGGTAAACAGTTATAAAATTTCCTATCCAGAATGGTCTAAGACAAGGAGATGCTTTATTGCCGCTCCTTTTCAATTTTGCTTTAGAATATGCCATTAGGAAGGTCCAGGGAAACCAAGTTGGACTGAAATTAAACAGGACACATCAGCTGTTGGCCTATGCCGATATGTGAATCTACTGGGTGATAATGTAGATACCATAAAGAAGAACACACAAACTTTAATTGGGGCAAGTAAGGAGGTTGGTCTAGAAGTAAACACAGAGAAAACTAAGTATATGTTGCTGTCTTGTCACCAAAAGTCAGGGCAAAATCATGATATAAGAACAGGAAACAGATGTTTTGAAAATGTGGCATGATTCAGACATTTGGGAACAACAATAACAGATCGAAAANGAAGAGGAATGCATATAGGATATTGGTGGGAAAGCCAGAAGGAAAGAGACCATTGGGAAGCCCAAGGCGTAAGTGGGGCGAGAATATTAAAATGGATGTTAGAGAGTTAGGATGGGATGAAGTGGATTGGATTGATCTGCCTCAGGATATGGACCAGTGGGCGGGTCTTGTGAACACGGTAATGAACCTTCGGGTTTCATAAAATGTTGGGAATTTCTTGAGTAGCTGCACAATTGGTTGCTTCTCAAGAAGGTCTCAGCTCCATGAGTGAGTGAGTACTATTAACTTTCTGGATTATGTCCATCGTAAAACACTCTAAAATAGAACACGTTTCGGGATTTGAATCTGCTCCCGTTCTCAGGTGACGTCATCTACTCAGTTGGGTCCCTTAGAGAGAACTAATTCCAAACACAGACTATGTCTTTCTACCTTAACACATGAGGACTGGAGGAGATTCAGTTCCCGAGATGTTGTTTCACATTTTAGAAAACAGGATGAAGGCCAAAGGCCAGACCTATAATAATACTGGATATAATACTTTAGTCAGAACTCATGAGAATTGATTAAATACCTAATTTTAATGATACTTTGTATAGACACCATGTCACTGGATACCGCTCCATATGGTTACTCCTTAAAAGGTTTGTGTTAAAACTACTAACTGGCTGTCCGTTGAAATAATTAAGCAAACCAGCGCACCTTCAAGTACATTACTTCCGTGAAAGAACTAACTAGTACTACTTTAATTCATAGATTTCTTGCAGGGCCATTTCATCTGATTGCGGTAAGCTTGCGTAAGGTAATGGCGGAAGTTCATTTTGACATTTGGATTGAAGGAGACGTTCTGCGTCCCAAACAGAAATTGTTCATTGTGAAAAAAAAAATGCAATTGTGGAAGAGTCGTGCAATATAAGGATCTTGATGCTCCTTCAAGGAACTGTTTAATGAAGTTGGTACGAATATTTGAAGAAACTGGTTCCAAGTTAAGATCGTTGGATAGAATTTTGTCGTCCATTTGCTGATTTAATTGAAACAAGCTGGGAATCTGCACAACATTTGGTTTACACACGAGGTCCACATTTTTATGTACATTCTATTGTTAGTATAGAGATCAGACTAATATGACGAACAAATAATCCAAACTTATAAGAAAGATGCTCTACTTCAGCCAAAAATTGCACAGTTTGGTGTGCTTTGTCCTATGTTTTTTTAATTCGCTTAGTGGGGGGTAGAGTCCAACTGGATCCACTCGGTACGGCGGCCACTGATTGGCCTATTGTAGCCTGTCCCGGGTGATTATGATGGAGAATTTGGTGGAATTAAGATTGGCAGCGGAAACCGAAGTACTCGGAGAAAACCCGCCCCAGCGCAACTTTGTCCACCACAAATCCCACTTGACCAGACGTGGGATCGAACACGGGCCGCCGCGGTGGGAAGCCAGCGACTAACCGCTTGAGCTATGGCGCGGCCTACTTATGCACCTTACGTGAAGTCAAAGTCACTGCATGACTTTTTTCAATTCGCTAGTCAGGGGTGGAGTCCAGCTGGGTCCACACGGCACGGCGGCCACTGATTGGCATACTGTACTTGCTCCGGGTGATTATGATAATGGAGGATTTAGTGGAATGAAGATTGGCAGGGGAAACCGAAGTACTCGGAGAAAAACCACCCCAGCGCACTTTGTCCACCACAAATCCCACTTGACCAGAGGCAGGATCGAACCCGGGCCGCCGCGGTGGGAAGCCAGCGACTAACCGCTTGAGCTATGGCACTGCGTGACATAGTCCAGTTGTAAATATATTTGACGTGAATTGATTTGAATTTTATACCAAAGAACCCCGTACGACCTTAGAATTGTTGAACCTAGGAGTCTATAAGTCAAAAACAAATTTTAATATGACCTGTCTAACAGGTATTCCTAAGTTTCTGAAGACAGATATCGAGATTTTGGTTTAAATGTTGCCACAGTCATTCCGAAAAGCGAATTCAGAATAAATCTTCAATTTCTGTTTACTCGCTACCTACGCTTGCAGAGCTAACATAATGCGAGTCAATAAAATGGAAGTATATGCCATACGGAAAGAAAAATCTCAACCGGTTGATAAGGGATATCGCGTTGGTGCGGTGTTCAATAAATTTAGATTATTTAAAATTACATATAATATATACAATTATATACAGGGAGATTATTTGAGAGTCTGCCGCAAAACAGATTCACCTTTCGATTCGGACTCCTGGCGTGGTCGACGACCGAAAAGCCTATTCGTACTTACTTACTCATGGAACTGAGCCCTTCTGGAGGAGCCGCCAATTTTGCAGCTACTCAAGAATTTCCCAGCATTTTATAGAATCCGAAGGTTCATTGCCGTGTTCACAAGAGCCCTCCACTGGTCCCCATCCTTAGCCAGATCTATCCAGTCAATACCATCCCTTCCTTTCTCTCCAAGATCCATTTTAATATTGTCCACCCACCTACGCCTTGGTTTTCCCAGCGGTCTCTTTCCTTCTGGCTTTCCCACCAATATCCTATATGCATTCCTCGTCTCCCCAAAAAGCCTATACAAATTGCAATTTTTCTTCAATATCACCCACATAAATCGCTGAAATGTAGCGTGAGATAAGCTTATGTATTATGTGCAGACACATTCACAAGCATATTCCTGCAGCTAAACAGGCATGTCGCCTGGACTGCGGCTTAAAACACACGTGGAAAGAGTTGAAGAGAGGAACCTGCCACCCTTCCTCTGGGCCGGCCGAACGATTTGAGGTAGCATCTCGAATAGCTTCCATGTATGTGTGTATGTATGTATGTATGTATGTATGTATGTATGTATGTATGTATGTATGCATGAATGTGTGACTTTCACTGGGCTGAGTCGAATTTAAAACTCGTCACTCGAATAGTACATTTTCAAAAGACTTGTTCGATCTCTGACCTGCCCCAGTTATTAAAAAAGTATCCCTCCTATGGCGTTAACCGCCAAGAAAAGGACTGGCCAGTTCAGAACGTAATCCCAACTACTGAAAGGTTATGATACCACAAGCCATGGGTCAAAATCAGGACTTGTGAGAGCAGAATATAAACAAATAAGAAAACAAAGAAATAAACACATGAAAATTGAAGTTTCAGTTTAAAGTTAATAATCTTTCAAATATGTGGACTCGACGTAAATGCATCCATTACAAATTACAATATGATTTACGTATTAATTTTATTTTTCTCCACCAAGAAACAGCTGAAATTAGAGATTTATGAAATAGGGAGTAACGCTGCTCGTGATTTGTTGTTCCATTCAGACTTCAAGAAAAGTGAACAAGTTCA